TAGCCTACGTCTTGGAATATATGACCCAAATAAGAATTTTCACCGTATATTGTCATCTGAACAAGTAAGTAACAAGTCTGCCACGTTTGTTCTGACCAACTGAGGAAAAAAGCATTACCATAAATCTCCCTACCAATGGTGATTTAAATCTAAAGATCGGTTAGCTCATATCACATCAAACCGTTCAAATTATTATTATTGTTATACTTTATTCTCAAATGATTAATGTTAACATCAGCATTGGTGACTATGAGTTATTATTATTATTATTATTAATTATGTGTATTAGCCTGTAAATTTCAATTTCTGCACAGTCTAATCTAATTGTCATACTCTTCGAAAAATATACATAAAAACACACAACACTAATTTAAAAAGCCGACAGACCGACTAACTCAATGAAAAACCTTGGCGACCTCTGGTGGTGAGTTATAGTTATTGAACTTCTCAACCCAGCAAAAACAAATGTTGTTGGATGAGAATTTTTATTACTAATTTATTAATTTTATTATTTCATCATTGGAAATGCTCAATTATCTTTTTAGGTAACACTTTATAATAACTTTCATTAATAAATCATTAACAAACGTTATATAATGCTTAACAGATCATTAGTTAATATATATTCACATAGCTAGAAATATGAGATAATGTCCTTGTTAATGTTTACTAATGTACTTATTAAAAATTACCTAATGATTAACAGATCATTATTTAATGTAAATTAAAATGCTTACAAATGTCATTTAAACGTTCAATTTATAAGATCATGCACTTTTTGAAAATCTTCAAATTATTTTGATAGATGGTTTACAGTGATTAAAAGCTTCATTAATAAATCATTAACAAACATTATATAATGCTTAACTGATCATTAGTTAATGCTAACAAATGCCATTAAACTTCAGTTCACATATTACCTAATGCTCTTTTTTACATTTACAAATGTTGTGAAAAAATTAGCTTAATCAGTCATTTTAAGCTCTTTACTATTTACTGAACTATTCATGTTAACATATTATTGATTAACTCATTATCACAGTCTGTAAAGGTCATATATTTGGTCTCCGTTTGTTGTGTAGACTTCTACTTTTTTCACATTTTAACAAATCATTTATTAATTATTTGTTCATGTTTTTGCAGTACCCAATTTAAAGGGGAAACTATTCATCATTTTTAAATGTTTTTATATGTTTACTAATAGTACATTTATGAGCAGTCATCTCAATGGCAAAATGTGTCCCAAATGACCTGAATTCACACTATTTTCAAATTTTAATAAATCATTTATTAATCCTTGGTCATGTTTATGCAGTACCCAATCTTAAGTGGAAACTATTCATCATTTGTAAATGTTTATAAACGTTTGCTAATCATTCAGTACCTTTATGGGCATTGGACTTGTAGCTGCTGTAACAACATTTGTGTAAAGGGATTTTTAGTTAAGTTTATGTAAATGCTTCTTAAAGACATAACACACATTGTAATTTGGGTGCAAAACATTTTTTATTGCCTCTACACTTACCCCAAAACACATATTAGTATATATCATTAAACAGGGTATTCCTTGAATCATACATCAGCAGGAGAAAACATTTTTTTTTAAAAAACATGTTCATTTATTAAAAAAATGTAATATAAACAGATTGAACCATGTTCCCTTATAGTAATCAAACTGACCCCTCTACACTTCTGACCCCTTACCCAACCAGTAAACCTACCCATACCATCAACCTAACCTTACCCATATTACACCACAATAGCAGCAAACGTGTTGTACATTAACAGAAACTTTTAATCATTGTATAACATCTGTTATCATTTCTAGTAATGTTTAATAAACATTAACAAGCACATTATCTCATAGTTCGAGCTAAGTGGATATAAATTAACTAATGATCCGTTAAGCATTATATAATGTTTGTTTATGATTTATTAATGAAAGTTATTATAAAGTGTTACCCTTTTTTAGCCATATTGAAGATATGTCTTTAAAAAAGTGTATTTACTCCCCTATAGATACTGTACATGAATATATATTAACAAATAAATCTTCATCTTTTTTGAATAGTTGACTTACAGTAATATGGATTTGTGGCCAAAATATTTTCAAAACATTCTCACATATTAATACATAACAAGGATTTGTAGTCTTGTGCATTTCCAAGATATTTAAGTAATTTAAATAATTAGTCTATATTTATAACATTATTATTATTTATTATATTGCCTTGATATAATAATAATAATAATAATAATAACACTGCTGTTTAAGGAGTGCTAGTTTTATGTAATGCTCCTTAAACACTTTTTACGTAATATCTGTTAGGCGTGCTGGCAGTGTTAAGCGCACGATGAAGGAGTAAAGTTCAAAAGGAGTATTTAATCATAAATCCAGGAGAATATCCACAAGTCCATAAACAGTATCAAGTTCTCAGCAATGCAAATCCAAATAATAGCAGACGATTAACAGATAGGGCTTAAATACAAGAACAGGGTAATTAAGGATAAACAGAACAGGTGTGTGGAACTAATTAACAAATCAAAAACCGAAACAAACGAGGGAACACAGGCAAACTGGAAAGCAGAGAAACCAAAACACAACAGAACAGAAACGTGACATATCGCCCCCTCCCGGAATGGCGTGTCCTCGCGCCGAATAAAGCAGTCCAACAAAGGAGGGAGGGTGGGGGTCCAGGAGGCGGGCGTGGGGCAGGTGAGGGGCAGGCAATGGGAAAGGGGCATAGTTCATAAGGCCAGGGCGGAGTAGATGGAGGGAGGAGCCCGGAGCAGGAGGAGCCAGGTGGGGAACCAGAGGCCAGCCAGGATAGCGGCCGACGGTGAAGTCGACGGTGGGAGGAGCCATGGTGGAGATGGGGCCGACAACACCAGGGGGCCGACTGACGGAGACAGAGCCGGTGGAAGAGGAGCCCAGGATGGAGACGGAGAGCCGCAGAGCCTGGGTGACACAGAGGATCCGGAGGGTCAAGGTGGAGCTGGAGGGAAGGAGGAGCCAGACAGAGCCAGAGAGATGGAGGGACAAGGCGAAGCCGAAGGAGTGGAATCCCGAGGTGAATGATGGTCGACAACTGACCAAGGCGGAGCCGGAGGAACGAGGGAGCCCTGTGGAGCCACTGGGATGATGGGCCACAGTGGAGACGAGGGAGAAATGAGCCAAGGTGGAGCCGATGGGTCGGAGGGCCAAGATGGAGTCTGGGTCTCGGAG